AAAGGTAAGCAATTTGCTCTTAGACTTCTTCTCAAATGTTTTTAAAAGCTGAACATAAATTGTTTAATGTCATAAATGTGAGTACCAATGGTTGTATCAACTTCAAAATTAAGATAAAATAGTATGTCCTTTTTATGCCTGTGTAACCCTGAAAATTATGATGGCAGAAAAAAGGAAAAAAGAACTTATGTATCAGGAAGCGGATAAGAAGGTAGCCTAAGAAGAATTTTAAGGAGGAAACATGGGAAGAGTCTACGCAACTTGGTGGGTAGAGCGCTACAGAGTCCTTCCTTGTTAGTCCTATCCAGATCAACGAATCTATGGACTGTGAGACCAAAGAACAAAGCCAAAACCAAGGCAAACCTTCCAAAACTTATTCTTTCCAGTTGAGATGTCACAAAATATAGGCATCATGCATGACACTAGTTGGAATGCCCTATCTGAACTACCTCAACTCTCATCCTTTTACCCTTAAAACTCTTAAAAACTTGTTTATTCTGCTTTACACATATATGATTTATTTTAGAATTGGAAAAATTCTGAATTTTAATGGAACTTCTAATAGAAACACATAAATTAGCTTGAGTCTGGATACTTACTATATTTCCATTGAAACTTTAGGTGGGCATTTGGACTTATAGTCTTCAAGCAAAACAAGATCCAGAAACATTAACTATTACAGTAACTTCTCGGGCAGCAAATTCTTCTGTGCCTCCAATCACAGTGAATGCTAAAATGAATAAAGAGACAAACAGCTTCCCCAGCCCAATGATTGTTTATGTAGAAGTTCTACAAGGATATGTACCTGTTCTTGGAGCCAATGTGATAGCTTTCATTGAATCACAGAGTGGAAATACAGCAGTTTTGGAACTTTTGGATAATGGTGCAGGTAATTCATAGGTTTTTATGAATAAGCCTGTATTTTCCTAACACGGGATATGTTATGAGTCTCTGTGGTAGTGTGGGTCAGTAAGATAGGCACCAGAAGAATGGGTGCAGATTAAGGAGGAACAGCAAGACAATTAGGAAAGTCTACCCAGGTGAAACCTACAAAGTGCTTAGCAAGTGTCCTGTGCATAGTAACCACGCAATAAATGTAATCTGTTGTCATCATTATTGTCTTTCATCTAGACTAACATTGGGCAATGTCTGTTACCAATTAGGAAGGTCTCATTCAGGAGGTTGAGGATAGCATCAAGAACTCTGGACAAGAGTTTCTAGGGGCACATAATCAAGAAAGAGAGGGTGAAGCACACACAGCCAGATGTGATTAAGTGTTGGAACTTGGGCCCCTAGCAGAGAAAGGGAGAGAAGCAGGTGTAATTCTCAACAGCTGGAACAAAGTACAAATATAGTCCTGAGAACTGAGGCCCAGGGGAAGCTAGAATTTCCACAAGACAGGAGGAGTCATCAGTGGGGTGTCAGACATCGGATCTGACTGGTAGGAATCAAGATACAGTGTTGGCCATACTGTATCTCCCTGACCTGTACGGATGAGTGGTGCTTAAAGACCTTTTACCCAGACTCTGGATTGTTCTGGGAACTGAACCTTCTGTTAAGAGGTTAAAGAGCAAGGAAATAACCATATGATAACCATCTGAATTAGCAAGGTTTTCTATCAGTATCTTTTGCAATGCAATTTATTCAATCATTTTATAATCATCTTCAACGAGAGTTGGCACTAAGAAAAACTGAGAAGATGAAATTGTTCTTTCATACATCTCAATGCCTTCTTCAGATATAACAATATTTTCACAACTATCCCTTGCCTCTTTTTCCCCTTTCTGCAAAACTATCTATACTACATTAAATCTTACCCATACCTGGTTTCATTTTCTCAACATTTTACTAAATTACTATTTAGCTAATTACTAATTTGGAATGCCTTTTCCTTAGAAAGTACTGGTAATTAACAATGACAGAAAGCAGGCATTCTCAAACTTTATTGTACAAAGGAATCATCTGGAGGGCTTGTTAGAACACAGAATGCTGGGATCCTTCCCTAAAAAGTCTGGAAAATTTGCATTTCTAAAAATCTCCAAATTTTTAGACAGATGCAGATGCAACTGGTTCAAGGACCTCACTTTAA